CCCCTGCCATACCCTCCACCACTTCCTTATGTACAGCACCAGTGCATGTTGGCTTACACAATGACCCTGTGGGAGAGAGGAGCAGGGGTCAGGTCAACATGCCCTGCACTGCCGAGCCCTCCCAAATAATATTTTCTTCTGCTTATGCCCCTACATAGCAGTTCCCAGGGCTCATGGCTTTAGGCTCCTGAAGTCCCAGAAGTTCTTGCCTGGGTCTTCTCCATTTTCAGTGGCAGGCCTGCTGGGGTGATGCAGTGGCAGGGGTGCCACGCCGGAAAGGGATCCAGGGAATCCCTAGCCAGGCCTCTCTGCAAGCTGGGAAACAGGTTATCCTGTTCGTAGAGGTAGGCCCTGAGTGTTGTCCTGCAGGATCAGGCCCATGCTGCTTGTGTGATGGCTGGTTTGGCTCATTATGCAGCCCTGGGGGACCTTGAGATCCTTTCCTGTGAGGTGTCATGCAGTGTGAGCACCATTACACCTGCAAATGTGATTCATAGGATCAACCCAGAGACTTCAAATAGAAATGCACTGCTGTGATCTTCCTGAGTTCTTTGCAACAGAAAAAGTGCTCAGTTATTTTTTTGTAGTCAAAAAGAAAAAAGAGAGTGAAAACAGACCTGGCATTTTCCAAAGGGTGCCACAAATCTATCCAGGGGTACCTCAAAGTCTAAAAAGGATTTGAGAACTACTGCCTTAAGACATGCAGTTAGTCATGCAGCCTGTGTTAGCCTAGGGTAGACCAGATAGGATGTTTCAACACAATGCTGTGGAAAGAAATGATAGGACCCTGTGGTAACTGCATTAGTACATTTATAAGGTTATGAGATGTTCTTGGTTTTAGCATGGGATGTATAATCAGGCTGGGGAGTATTCAGAGACATTAACGGTCTTTACCAGTCTGTGGTGAGTGGGTGTGCATTTGGGGGTGAGGAGAAGTAGGCAGGATGTTCAGCCTGTCCCCTCACTTTAACTTCTAGTATCTAGTGGATGGTCTCAACCAGCTGTTTTTATATACTGGTCAGCCTATTCCAAATGGAGAGTGCAAGAGAGCGAAACTTATGAGAGTAATTTGTGTCACTGCAGACTCCTTGCAAGGCAGCACCTTTGACTGGTACAGGTTAACAAACCACTATTTTCCTCCAGCTGAATTAAGTTTGATTGTGTTCCCATAAGACTGGCTTCAGACAGAACTATAGGATGGTCTATTTTGCCCCCAGAATATAACTTTAACCCTAAACTGTAACTTAATTACATTTAGGACAAGAGATGTCTTTTCAGAATCTGGTTACTCATAAATTTGTTTCCCTTGCGTTTAAATAAAAATCTAGATCTTCATGCATCGTAATGAAATAAAATTAAGTCTATTATTGGATCTTTTTCTTTTTTGTGGATGACTTTTTAGGACTCAGTGTAACAGTAAAATAGCCTTTTAATGTCACTGAGGGCATAGTAGCCAAAAACTTGTACCATATATAGCCACAATTACAACTGAGTCAAAGGGCCTGGTTTAACTCATTTGAATGAATAATAAAAACGTGTTTCTCAATTTGATTCGAGTCCTGGAAGTATTTAGGTCCTATTGGTATTTTTAAGTA